TCCTTGCACGGGCTGGCCACCCGGGACCTTGGCGGCCCGTCTGGTAGCCTAGCTTTTTCAGGATTTTCCGGATTTTAAGGGCTTGCCAAGACAGCCATCTCCATGGCTCCAACAAACGCCAAACTTTGCACACACAAACCCGGACCCAAAAAAAAAAAAGGGCAAAAAAAAAAAAAGAAACTGAAAAAAAAATTCCTAATGCCCACTTGGGGGGGTCAACCTGTGGGCTGAAAAGTTGAGGCCCCTGCGAACCACTTGTGAATGTTGCACAGCTATTAGTTGATTGTAGAGGGGCAAGACACACTGTGACTCCAATCAAGTGCAGAGGAAACTGCATGAGTTCGTTAGCTGCTGAATGATGCGGTCAACCGAGAAGTGAAGTGCGAAAACCGTGCACGATCAAGGAGTTGGCAATAATGCGATTCTTTCTGACACACATTCTCATATATGCTAGTCATGTCGCTGTTTCGACACCGTTTTGCTCATTTGATTTCGGTTTTGATGGATGAGATTGAGGGATTGTGGTTTTTAGTGTGGGCATGTCAGATCGTAGGAAGTGCTGTGTAGACGACATGTCGGCTGTTTTTTGTTGTGCACTGTGGATCGTTGATCTTTCGTTGTCGAACGGACTGTCCTTCTCCGGTGATGATCTTGGAATTGGAATGTTGATCGATGTTGTCGAATAGGCTCTCCTTCGTTTGTGGCCCGCAGTTATTTTTTCCTTTTCTTTTCCCGTTCGCGGTTTTGTCTCCCTTGTGTCACAACACCGCCCGCCCATTTCCGTTGTGTTAGAACTAGGCAGAAGCGCATTAGTTCTCTTTTTTAGCTATTAATTCCAATTCAGTTTTTGTTTTGAAAGCTGACGTATTAAACTTCGGAAACCTCCAAAAGAAGCCAAAACAAAACCTATCCAAATACAAAAAATGAAAGGTATGCTTTTCATGATCTCATCTTATGATTTGATTGCCATGTATTTAGCCATCGAACTTCAAAGTTCATGTTTTTATGTTATTGCAGCATCAAAACGAAATTCTGAGTGCGTCTTTGTACAATAGGTGACCTAACGGCCGCCCGACTAAACATGCCAATAGTGACAAAATTCATGTGAGCTACTGAAGAATATGCAATGATCTTTTTCAGATCGATTTGTCTTAATGTAGTGAAGGAAGTATATATTATAGCAATCACACTAAGAGTATAAATGAAAGGAGTGAAATAAAGAGTAGCTTCTTTTGCTACGATCCCGGTCATTCCCAAAGTGCAAATTCACAATGAAAGACAATGCCACCCAATTGCGAAAGAAATGAAAGCACTTGCAAAGAGATAGAGACCGAAGAAGAGAAGAAGAAGAAGAAGAAGAAGAAGAAGAAGAACATGTACACCAGCAAGACCAATGACAAATCCCCCTTCTCTCTCCACCTTCCTCCTCCTCCTTCACTTCGCCAATCTTATTCTGCTTCCAATAACAATAATAACAATGAGTGGATGAACCAGAATCAATGTCTGAAGTTCTCTCTTACTGCTGACACAACAACAACAACAACAGGTTCACCATAGCTATGGGTTCCGCCGCTTTTTCCACCTCTCACATGCCTAGGCTATGGCGGACTACTGAGGGCTCTGCCCTCCTGTGCAAAGGACAACGCAAAGCAGCAATGTCGCTGCGCTCCTGTCCAAAGGACAACCCAAAGCAGCTATGCCGCTGCTGACTAAGCCGCCATGCCTGACTCTGCCTCGAGCTTCCTTGGTGCGGCACTACCCCAACTGGGGCCTTCCTTAGGTGATGAAGATGGTGTCCACCATAGCCAGGTAGGTACCTCGCCACTCTCCTCCTTCGCCCCCTTCTCCCTCCTCCTCAAACTGGGCTGCTCGCCATAGCCAGGCTGAGCGCCCAGCTGCCCTTCTCCTCCAGGCAGCGCTGCACAAATCCAGCGCTTGGGTCAGCAGCATGTTGCCAATCCTTGCATACCACAAAGGAGGAGGAGCTACTTGCTCCTCCAGAAGATATAGCGGCCTACTGGTCTCCTGGGCGGTGACTTCCTAGGCCGAGCGGCCTCCCAGCAACAGGTACCTCCTCCCTTTCGGAGGGAAACATCATTGCAGGCTCTGCTATCATCCGGACAGGCCCTAGACTCAGGCTACTTGGACTGGTACCGACCTACCTCTAACCTACCGCTACTGGGCCTCTAAAAATGCCAACTTTTGTCTTCTTCTGCTCTGCCTCCAGTACCCGACACTTCTACCACTACTTGAGTGGTACCGGCCTACCTGCTACTTTAGTGTTTTTCCCTGCTGCTCTAAGTGACGCGGGCCTACCCCCGCTACTTGAGTGTTTTCCCCGCTGCAACCCTCAAAGTCACGGCCACAGGTAAGTACCGGCCCTGCGGGGCCTTTCAACCAACACGTACCCTTGCGGGTCACACACACACTCAGCCGACAAGCACTCAGACAGGCGCGCAAACCAGCAGGCACGCACACACACACAGACTTGAAAACCACAGCAGAAGGCATTCATTCCAGCGGCAAATCCCAGAAATCAGCAGTGTTCTCAGTCTGTGTTATGGCGGGTCATTACAGCTTTGAAAAACATGAATATTGACCACTTTCCAAATCGAGGCCGAAAGCGAGTCACTTCTGCTGTACTTTTTTTCCGAGTTCTTTGTGTCTTGTGTTTCTGTTTTGTCGCGGGTGGTGCCGGAGAGAGGCGAGCTGCAGGTTTTACCTTCCGCGGTCACCACATGAGCAAAGGACACAAAATATGGCAGCGCATCTCTCCATGTTATAGCGCAAGGTTCATTCTCATTTCTCACCTTCAGTGAGTGGTGGAGCGAGGCTGGGATTCCTCGCGTTCTGTTTTTCCGTTTTCTTTCGGATGA